GCAGAGGCAGCGCAGTCAGGGAAGGGACAGCTCACACCCCGGCCCTGGCAGCTCCTGGCACACAGCTCACCCTAAAGCCAAGTCTTCAGGGACACTGCCTCACCTGTGAGGAGGCAGTTGGTACTGGTTTGATTTGTTATTAAACTCACCGTGAGCGTGTCCCAGAGCAGCACCTGGTGCTGGGTGCTGTATGAACAGGGCTCGTGGCCACAGGTTGGGTCAAGGGTGCTGTGGAAGCTTCAGCTTTTTGGGGTGCTGAGCCCAGCTGGGAGGGAAGATGAGCAAGTGAGGCTTGAGGTGGCTGAGAGGCAGCTGGAGGGATCCAAGGGGGGATGAATGTGGTGGGAGGCATGTTGAGCATAATTTTTTTTCCTCTGGGAAATTCAGCTTTGCATGTGGGTTTAGGTGTAGTGTGGGGTGAGATTCTCATCGCTGCAAAGGCCTTGAGGTACTGAAAAGGGCTTTTGTTGTCACCCCTGGCAGTGACAGCAGCGGGATGGGGTTTGTGGTTGGGGACCAGCAGTGTCTGCGCCCGAGGGAGCGCGAGTGCAGAGTGGGGAGAGAAAAGCAGAGGCCACAGAGCCTGCTCCCATCCTGCTGCATGCTGAGCCCGCTCCACAGCTCCCACACCTCATCCAGGGATGTGCCTGTGCTTCCTCTCCTCTCCTCCCAGCCCTGCTCTTCACCCCAGCCCAGCAGCCTTTGCTCAGAGCAGCTGCAGACTGGGAGGTGGGAATGGAGAAGGTGCTCTGACAAGAAGCCAGTGGGAGCTGGGGGGTCCCAAAGAGGAGCCAGCAGGAGCTGGGCTACCCATGGAGCCACCAGGGCTCTGTCCCCCTGCCTCTCACTGTCCCCCCGCCAGAGGAGCTCCGCTGATCTGCCCACTTCAGCCATGGCTGATGCTCCCAGACAAGCAAGGCCCTTGTAGCTGTCAGGTGAGCCTTTCCCAGAGCTTATGCAAATGATACTAATTAAAGGCATTCTTATCTGTTCAATTTCCCACACCTTTTGCCTCGAGGGGGATAGAAAACTTCATGATTTAACTCCATATTTCGTGGCAGTTGGAAGCACTGCCTAGGGAAAGTGTTGGGAAACACAGCAGGTCACTCCTGATGAGAAGAATTGGATTATGCAAGTGTTGAAACGCTTTATTATGCATGAGAAACCTTCCAGAAACAGATGACTAATAGCAAAGCAGGAGCAGAGAAAGCAGTGGGAACGCAGTTCCAGGCTGGCATGGGATCCATGTCATCTTACCAGCTTAGCAGGGTTGGGCTGGGTCAGCACTTGCCTAAGAGACCTCTCGGAGTACCTGGCTGGCAGCGAGGGAAGTGATGTTAATGATTCAATAAACAGAGAGCCCTTCCCTCTTTGTGAACCAAACAGCCCCTGATGCCAGGATCCCACTGGCAGACCCGTGTTTCCACTGGCAGCAGGTTACTGAGCTCAGATGGCCATAAATCCTCTGCTGCTGGATGTGCAGGCAGGTTTGGCAGAGGATGCCCGGGCTGCATTTCCGTGGGAGCGCCGCAGCCCAGCTCCCAGCCCTGGCAGGGCTGCCCTGCTGCTGTGGGCACTCGGGGCCGTGGTGTGCATGCACAGCCTCTGCTCTCTGGAAGTACCAGAGACACAGCCAGCATCTCCTCTGCTGCTGGGGGTTTGCAGTACCCAAGGACAGGCCCTGGACCATTGCAGCAGAGCAGCGACGTGCGCCTGTGTGATTCCCAGGCTCTGGTGATCAGATCACCGAGGAAAGCTCTTGGCACAGAGGGGAAGGGAAATGGCCCAGCCAGCTGCCCTCTGAAAACCCCCTTGGAGAGCTGGCTGTCCCCAGCACTGCACTCGGAGGTGGCCCTTGCACCCACAGGGTGTGGAGATCTCCAGTGGGCTGAGTCGCCGAGTTTCTGCTCTTACTGCAAGGACCTTGAAGGTGCTACAGGGCATTGCTGCAGGAAGAGAAGAGTGTCTGAAGGTCAGAGCTGTGGGTGCAGCAAGGGCAGCTGAAGTCACTTGGGAAAAATGTGAGAAAACAGACACGTGGAGAAATGAGCATGGTCAGATCCTGACCTCTGCTTCACATCTGCTGGGTCATTACCTGGTTTTCTTTCTCTGCCCTCCCCACCATCTCCCACCATCCTGGGCACTGTGTTTTGGGCTGTAGGCAGCAGATGTGTGAAGGCAGATCCATAACTCCTGGCCTTGGAGGCAGTAGAGGGCAGCCTGTGCTAAGCCTGGCCATCCTGCAATCTGGGGAGGTTTCAAGTCTCAATAAGTCCCTGAAAGAAACTCCTGGATGCTCAAGGGCTGTTCTTTCACAACCAAAGTGAGGGTTGCAACCTTCATCCAGAGGAGTGGCCCTTTCACCGGATGATATCTATCTTGGAGAGAGGGAGAAAGAGGAGAGGGTAGGCGGTGAGTAGGAAAAGGGATATCACTGCAGGTGGCTGTTGAGTAGTCCTGTGATACAGCGAACAGAAGACACCCAAGGAATTGTCCTGACATGAGCTGCCCTGAATCGCCCCAAAGAGTCCACAGCGGGCACTGCTGTCCTTTACAGCAGCTCTCTCCAGGCAGAGAGCTGTGTCTCACCAGTGAAACCCCTGCCAAGACCCCTCAGTGACGCTGGCCTGTGATGTTTGTCAGCAGAGCAGGTGGAAGGAGCCCCAAGGCCCAGAGGCCGCTCCAGGGTGGCTCCTCTGGGCGAGGTCAGCATCACCAAGGTGACTCAAAGCACTTTTTGCAGCTTTTAGATGTACCAAAGGAAGGAGCAAAACTAACTCCAGTGCTGTCTGAACTGCTCATCTTCCACGTGTTTTGGGTACCAACCTGTGTCTACCTGAGCTCACGCTACCAGCCTTAGCCAAGCTCACACTGACTTCTGCAGCCCTTTTGGAGTCACCAAAGGTTTGGCTCCTGCTGATCTTGAGTTTTCTTTCAGCTTCTCAGCTGAAGGTGGAGGTGCAGTAAGAGGATGGGATGCTGAGGTGGCCCTGCAGCTCCAGGCTCAAGCATCCAGTCCCTCGAGTCCTGGGAGGTTCGTGTGTCAGTGCTGCTGAAATCCCCAGCCGGGAGGGCAGGGAGAGGCAGGGATCATCCTAAACAAAAACAGGGCGCCAGCTGGGCTGGCAGCATTGCAAAAGGACATTTCACCTGCCTCGTCCTCCTTGGTGGCACAGGGAGAGTCTCAGTGCAGGAGGGCTGGGGACGAGCACCTCGCTGGGCTCAGGGACCACAGACCCAGTGACAGCAGCACGGTCTCAGTGCAGTGCCATCACTCCTAATCCCCAGGTGATGCCCTTGGTGGTGACAGCACAGAGCTGGCTGGGCTGCAGTGTCCCTGTGGACGCTGGCCTGAGGTCCTGGGCAGGGACACGTGGCTGTGGGGGTGACAGTGCCCCACACGGGGGGCAGCACCTGGGCAGGATGCGCTGACAGGGACGGGGGACAGCAGTGAGGGGCTGCAGTGGGGACCACGGCTTCGTCTGAGGTGAGCTGCACCTGCTCCTCATCCTTGGCACGGAGGTGGCAGCGGAGCCTGGGGACGTGGGGACGTGTTCCAGTCGTGTCCCGCAGGCCAGGGAGCCTGAGTTGCAGAGCAGCCCCCGGGCCGGGAGCGGGGACAGGAGCGGGGACGGGAGCGGGGACAGGAGTGGGGACAGGAGCGGGGACAGGAGCTGGGACAGGAGCGGGGACAGGAGCGGGGACAGGAGCGGGGACAGGAGTGGGGACAGGAGCGGGGACCGGAGCGGGGACAGGAG